TGCCCGCCCCATCGCCTCGCTTGCGAACATGCTGCTTCCGATCGTGCAAATGACGGCCTCATCATTGCTGATTTTCGCGACGAGTCCGCCGCGCTCGGCTTCTCCTTCTGCGTACGTGGCGCCCGAACTCGGCCTCTCTGGAATGACGTGCGCCGCAACGCAGCATTTGCCGGCCTCCACATCTCACCAGCCTTGAGAATGAAACGTCGACCAGTGCATTCTCTAGCCGACAGCATCACCCTAGCACAGACAACACTCACAATCGGCTCAAAGAAGGGTGCTATGGCGCACATCCGGTATCCTTCCCGTCTCAGTCTCGCCGACGCCGAGCTCATCTACACTGGCGTGCTCTCAGCGGCGACTACGGCCGTGGCAGTAGCCGTGTCAGCTCAACTTCACGGCAGCATTCGTGAGACGAGGCGGCAGGCAAAAGAGGTGTGGCCTTGCCCTCGGCCTGGCAGCCTGGGTCCTGCCCCGAATACCATAGGAGGGAATCTGGTGTCCGCCCTCCATCACTTTAGGTTGTTGCGGCGCGCCGTCAGATGGAGCTGGCTGCGGCGTGCCTGCAGGGTGTGCTCCGAGATCTCGCTGCCGAGGGCCGCGGGGCAGCGTATGAGGCTGCTGCGCAGCAACTCGACTGCCTCGAGGTGAAGGACGAGCATTGCTCGTGTGTCTGAGCTCTCACCGGGTCGGACCGGTCAGTGTCACCCGTCTACTTGGGTTTGTTTTAAGAAACGAGTTCGTGGAGTTGAGAGACTAAAGAAAGAAAACGGAGAACCCAAGGGAGGGATGGGAGGACGGCACGCCGCCACCGGAAAGAACGCGCAGCGCGATTTCTTCTTGACTGACTCCGCTGAGTTTATCTCCAGCTCTCGCCGGCGGCGCAGACTTGAGAGCGCTGGAGTCGCTAAAGAGTCTGGAGATCTTCTTGCACAGCCAATCCTCGACGCCGACGAAAGAGCGACACGATCTTTGAACTCAATCGGTGTCGATACATCACTCTGGTCTGTGGCTGAACGACGCCGAGCCGCACTGCTTCCCGCTTCTTTGTGCCCAACCACCATCGCAGCCGCCACGAGATGGTATCCTCAGTCCTGTCGAACTTCGTCCTGTCGAACCTCGTCCTGTCGGACGTTGCCAAGCCGAACATCGTCAAATCTGCGTCCGATCGGCGCGAGTACCGATTTGTCGAGCTGAGCAATGCCCTCAAGGCCGTCCTCGTGAGCGATAGCTCCGCGACGCTGGCAGCGGCAGCGGTGGATGTGCGCTCCGGCTCCGCGAATGATCCCGACGACGTGCCAGGCCTCGCGCACTTCTGTGAGCACATGCTCTTCCTCGCCTCGGTTAAGTACCCTGTCGAGCAGGACTACGATGCGTTCCTCAAGCGGCACGGCGGCTTCTCGAACGCATTCACTGCGGACTCGCACACAAACTTTTACTTCGAGGCGCCCCTCCGCCCCGCCCAGCACCCTCCGCCACTCCTCCACCGCACTCCTCCACCGCACCGCCCACCGCCCCCCACGGTTGCACCGCCGTCTGGCATCAGGTGCTGCCTGAGTCGCTGCGCGAGGCGCTCGACCGGTTCGCGCAGTTCTTCATCGCGCCGCTATTCTCGGTGGGCGGCGTCGCGCGAGAGATGCACGCCGTCGACTCTGAGCACGCCAAGAACCTGCAGTCGGACGCGTGGCGCCTCTGGCAACTCGGCCGCTCCCTCGCGGCAGCCGGCCACCCGCACAACCACTTCGGGACCGGCTCGCTGCAGACGCTCAACCGGACCGGCGTGCACAGCGAGCTGCTGCGCTGGTACGGGGACCACTACCTCTCTCACACGATGACTCTCGCCATCGTCGGCGCCGAGGACCTCGACACGCTGCAGAGCTACGCCGCCGACCTCTTCTCGGCTGTGCCCCGCTCGCACCCTCCCCCCTCGGGCGCCGCAGCGGCGCCGCCGCCCCCCCCGGTGGCGCCGTCGGCGTCGCTCTTCGCCACGGCGCCCGCCGCGTTCCTCGTCCGGCCGGTGCGGTCGCTCGAGCTGCTCCGCATCATGTGGTCTCTCCCTCCGGTCGAGTCCGAGTACCGCTCGCGCCCGCTCCGGCTCGTCTCGCGCTTGCTCGGTGGCGAGTCTGCCGGCTCGCTGCGGTCGGCGCTCGTGCGGCGGGGGTGGATCGAGGGCGTGACGACCAGCGTGGAGCGGCAGCCGGCCTACTCGCTGCTTGTCGTCGACCTCGACCTGACGGCGCGCGGGCTCGCGCACTGGCGCGAGGCGCTCGAGGTGGTGTACGCCGCCCTGCGCGCGATACGCGGCCGCGGCGTGACGCAGCAGGTGTTGGCTCCGCTCCAAGGGTGCGAAGGCGGAGCCCTCTGTGCACCCTCTCGGGCCGTTCCTGTGTAGGTCTTCGATGCGCTCCGCTCCGAGGACGAGCTCTCCTTCCGCTTCAAGGCAAAGGAGGAGGCGTCCGACTACGCCTCGGACCTCGCCGCACGCCTCCACCTCTACCCGCCCCAGGAGCTTCTCACGGCGCCGGAGGTGACGCCCGCTTTCGACGGCGACCGCACGCGCGAGCTGCTGCGCCAGCTGCAGCCGACATCGATGCTCGCGCTGCTCGTCTCGCAGACGCTAACCGCCAACGCCACCGACGGCGCCTCTTCAGAGCGCTGGTACGGGACGCAGTACTGGCCGATTCCGCTGCCGGACGACTTTGTCGCCGGGCTCGCCGCCGAAGAGCCGCGGGGAGGGCACTCGTACGAAGGGCACTCGTACGACCCTCCGGCAGGCGGCTTCTGCACGGGGCCAGGGGACGGCGCGTCCGAGGAGGGGGAGCGGGCGGTGCGCCAGAAGCGGCGGCCGGGCCTGCAGCCGGGAGGGTGCCGGGCGGAGTGCGATGCGGAGCCGCTCTGCGCCGGCTTCGCGGAGGGCGGCGGCACGTGCGTCGTGTACGGCGCCGTGGCCGACGACCCGCCACCGCCGTGGGAGGCCCGCCCCGGCGGCACGGTCGTGCGCTCGGGGGGCGGCGGTGGCGGCGCGCAGTGCTGGCGAGTGTGGCCCCCCTCGTCCGAGCTTTCCCCGCCTCCTCGGAACCCGTACCTGCCCACCGACTTTGAGCTGCTGGAAGCGTCAAGCTCGCCCTTCGTCTCGGACCCGCCCGCGCTGCTGCGGCGTGGCGCGCGCTCGCGGCTCTGGCATCGCGCCGAGGTCAGCTTCGGCTTGCCCGTCGCCGCCGTTCGCGTCGCGCTGCACACGCGGGCCGTCTCTGCGAGAGAGGGGGGCGAGGGCGGCGGCGAGGGCGCGGCCTTCGCGCTTCTGCACACCATCTACCTCGAGATGCAGCTCCGCGAGGCGGCGTGGGACGCTTCGCGCGCCGGCCTCGCCGTCAGCCTATCCGCAACGTCGACTGGCTTCGAGCTCTCGGGCCACGGGTACGCGCAGACGCTGCCCGCGTACATGCTCACGGTGCTGCGGCAGGCGCGATCGCTGCAGCCGGATGCGCTCCGCTTTGCCACCGTCAAGGCGCTGGTGGAGCGGCAGCTTGCGGACGAGGATAAGGCCGCCGCTTATCAGGTCGCCTACCAAGCTTGGTCGCACTTGCTGCTCCGCGTCGCCCCCACGCCGGCGGAGCAGCTCGCCGCTGTTCGCTCCATCCGGCTGCCTCAGCTCGTTCGCTTCGCCGCCGACGCCCTCTCGAGTTGGGCGTCCTCCGACTTCCTCTTCTTTGGCAATCTCGACGCCGCCGGCGCTGTGGACGCATACGAGGAGCAGCTGGGCGCGCTCTCTGAGGACGGGGCCGCGCCGGCCGGGCTGCCGGCCGCGCCGTCGCAGCAGCAGGCGGTGGCGGACTTGGGCGGGCGGGCGCTGCTCCGTGCGGTCGCGCACCCAAACCCGCAGGAGACCAACTCGGCTGTCCGGCTCACGCTCGTGCTCGGCGAGCTGAGCGCGCGCGAGGCGGCGACGGCGCAGCTCCTCGCAAAGATGGTCGAGCCCGCCTTCTTCGCCTCGCTCCGCACCCGGCAGCAGCTCGGCTACCTCGTCTGGTCCTTCGGGCGGGAGGTGCGTGGCGTGAGCCTCCTCTACTTCATCGTCCAGTCGTCGAGCGCCTCTCCGCGCCACGTCACGGCCTCCATCCACGCCTTCTTGGAGGAGGAGGCGGAGGCGCTGCTCAACTCCACCGCGGCGGCCGACTTCGCCGCCTACGCCGCCGCCGCCCGCAAGGAGCTGCTCGACCCGCCCGAGCAGCTCGAGGCGGCGGCCGAGGAGGCGTGGGGACAGATCGCAGCCGAGCGCTTCTGCTTTGCGCGGCGGCGCGAGGTTGCGGTGGCGCTCGACGGCGTCTCCCTCGCCGACGTGCAGGCGCTGCTCGCGTCGCTCGTCGCCGCCGACTCGGCCGCAAGCCGCATGCTCGTGCAGGTCCACTCCCCGGAGCACCCCGTCGGCCGCGTGGCCGACGAGCTGCCCGAGTCGAGCCGGAGGGAGTACTCGCCGCTCGAGGACGAGGGGGTGGCGCGGTTCCGCGCCGGCCGCGGCTTCTTTGCCGGCGAGCCGTGCGCGGTGGCTCCGCCGCTGCCGCACGGCCACGACAGCGCGGACGAGGTGTACGGCTGGATGGCTCTCGGGGCGATCGCGTCGCTCCTGGGCGGCATCTCCCTGCTCTCCCTCCGGCTGCTGGCCGGTGCGTGCCGCTCGTCGCTGAGCTCGCTGCCCTTCCTCCAGCTGCAGCCCTCGAGCACGATGAGCGAGCTCGAGCCGGCGCTCGACGCGTCGGCCGCCAGCCCAAAGGCGAGGCGATCCAGCGCGGAGGAGCTGCAGCTTGGGCACTCGGGAGTCGGGCATCACGCCAAGCCGGCAGCGACTTTTGCTTAGCAGTAGGTGCGTGGACGGCGGGGTATTTTCTGTGGTAAATTAAGGCACTCGGCGATTTTTTTTTTCATATTTCGTGCGACGCTGGTACCTAGGCCCGGTTGGGACCCGGACCCCAGGCGCTGGGCCAGGGGTGAAACACAACGTGATGTCGGCTTACCGCATCAAGAAGAAGCGGCCTAGGACTCCTCCGCCAGAGGAGGCGCCTTCGATCACAGAGGATAGCCCTGCTGCTTCGGTGCGCCGCGTTTGGGCATCCACAGCGACGGCCCACCAATCCCGCTCTCACCGCCGCTGCCGTGCGCACAGGCACCAGCGAATGCAGCCGCCACCTCTCAAGACGCGCCTCCGGCGCTCGGCGCGTGCTCGCCGGCGGTTGGCGGCGGCGGCGGCACCGGCAGCAGCGCTCCTCCGCGCAGGGCGGGCGGCAAGATTCCCGAGGGGTGGCGGGAGAGCCCAAAGGGCGGTGCGGCGCTGCACGGGCTCTGCGCCATCAAGACGCCCCTCAGAGCGGAGCTCTGCGCGTCGCTCCCGGCGGCAGATTGGTGCGTCGTGCTCGCCCGCAGCACAGCGCGCGCGCACCGCAATCTTCCGCACCTCCACCCCCTCCACCCCGCACGTCCCTCCGCCTCGCTCTCTCTCGCAGGTGGACGGTGTCGGACGCGCTGCAGGCGTGCGGCGGGTCGGCGGTGGGGCTGTGGATCGACCTGACAAACACGCGGCGGTACTACGAGCCGCGCGAGCTGCCCCAGTCTGTTCGCTACCTCAAGTTCCAGACGGCTGGCCACGGTCTCATCGAGGAGCAGGTGCGGCCCAGGGTTAGGGTTAGGGTTAGGGTTAGTCTCATCGAGGAGCAGGTGCGGCTCTCTCTGCGCGCACATGCGCTGCCCCGCCCACCGCCGCCGCCCGCCCGCCATCCCGCCGACTCGCCGCCGCCGCGTCCAGGCCATGCTCCAGATCCTCCACGAGATCTCAGCTCTGCGCCAGGCGCGCCGCCCCTCGCGGTCCGCCTCTGTGCCCCGTCCCTCGGCTGCAGAGGCAGCCCGGCTGCTGCTAGGCGCGAATGAACGCCGCTGGAGCGGACGCAGTCCGCAGGGGCCTCCCGTCCGAGGAGGTGGCCAAGGCGGAGAAGGCGGCCTCTGCTGCGGCGCGCGTGGTGGTGCACTGCACGCACGGGTGCGCGCGCGCGCGTCTCGTCAGTCTGCGCTGGCTGCGATGGCGGGAGGCGGCTCACCGCCCGCCCGCCTACCCTTCCAGGCTCAACCGGACCGGCTACGTGGTCGCCACCGCGCTCTGCCGGCTCGAGCCGCACATTCCGCTCGGGGAGGCGCTCGCCGCATTCAGCGAGCAGCGGCCGCCAGGCCTCTGGAGAGAGCAGTACGTGCGCGCGCTGCACGACACGTACGGCGGCGCCATCCCGCCCCTCCCGCCGCCGCCCTCCTGGGAGCACGAGGGGCGGAAATGAGCGCGGCGGGGCGAGACACCAAAGGCGCGGCCCCGCGCGAGTTGTGTGCAGTTGCGAGTCGTTGGCAACAACGTTGCTCGTTGGCAGATGGTGTGCACCTCCCCGTCTCCCGCCCGCTCTCCCCGTCTCGCTGCTCTCTCTCTCGCCTCTCGTGCTGACGCGGCGTGCCGCGCAGAAGGGAGGGCTTTCAAAAAAAAGAACGTCCAGCGCTTTAAACATCGCAGACTCGCGTCATGAACGCAGCACCGCCGCCGAGCCCACCCGCCCCTGAGCCGCCGCAGCGCTAACTTTCGCCAGCTCCAGCCGACTCCGCTTCTCTATCAGCGCTGCCGCGACAAGGACGTCCTTGGCACTGGCCGGCTTGTCTGGGGTCGAGGCTGCGATTCTCTTCATCGCGCGCTTGGCAGCTCCAGTGCGCACCGCCTTTGTGCACTGACGACGCGCGGCGCGAGCAGCGCGGGCCTTCTCCGCCGCCTCACGCTTGAGAGACCGCAGGGAGTTGGAGTTGGTCTCAGTGTTGGTCGCGGCGGCCAGAGCAAGCAGCGCGTGCGCGCCTGGGACGCGCTTGCCTGTGGCCTTCGTCATCTTCGTCATCCTCGGGCAGTCGTCGTAGAACTAGAGTGCTTTGAACGGGGGGGCGCCACAAGCGGACAAGCCGGCGTTTCTTTTTTGCTCGTACAGTCCCCACGGACGCTGTCGTGGGATCGCTTGCCATGTGAGAGACTGCCTTGTGTTCTCCAGCCAACTGAGCCCAGGATTAGCCCCGCCGGACTAGAGCCAAAACACGTGATTCACCTCTAGAGCTCGCTCTCGCCTCCTCGGAGCCTCAGCCAAAATCTGTCGCTCCAGCGCCGTCGTCCGGGCCCACGGCCGGCTCGCCATCTCGATTTCCACTCGCCCGATGCGCTCGGTCTCTGCTGACGGCTGCCGCAAGAGCGGCTGGCTCACGACAGCGTCTTGCCGGTTGTCGGATGGGAGAGTACAGGACGTCTGGAGTGTAACTGTGTACGTAAGATCGGTCTTGGTAACAAGCACAGTCGGTCTATCGAAGCGATGCACTCGTTTCCGTTGCCCTTCGAGCTTGACACAGAGCTCAGCGCGCCCCGCAAAACAGGAAGAGCCGTCCGGCAAGAAGATCTCGATAGGGAGCGAGAACCGTTAGAGGTGCTCCGAGAGGTATCAAGACTCCGTCATGACGCGGTAAGATCACTCCAAAAATGACCGCGCAGATGTCGGATCTCGTTGAGATATCTTGCAAAATCTGCTCTTCCCGAGCCGGCAGCACGCAGAGAGTCGCAGAAAGGCTACGAGTGCTCGACGAGTTTTGAGACCTGCGCGGCCAAACCTGGGGGGAACTGACCGCACCAGGACGGACGTCCGAAACCTTCGTGAGCACCTTTGACGATTCTCGCTCCCTATCGAGCTCTTCTTGCCGCACGGCTCTTCCTGTTTTGCCGGCACAGAGTTGCAAGCCGTCCAGCGTGACGTGACGAGTATATCGCTTCGACGGATCGACCGTGCTTGTTATCAAGACCGATGTGACATACACAGTGACACATCAGACGACACATATTCTCTCACCCGGCGGGCCGCAAAACGCTCTCGACAAGAGCCACACAAAGCCACCCGCACGGCAAGCCGCTCGTCGGACAGGCGTGCTCGATCGATGTCGGAGAGCCAAGGACAAGCCCGGAGGGCAGCCACGCAGAGTGGCGCCACTTCTCGAGCGTCGGCTTGCGCCGGAGCGCCGCAGCCAACCGTGCAGCGAGCGAGTCGGACAGACCCCGCTAATCCGCCTCCAGGGTTGACTGGTTGTTGCATTTTCGAAGAGGGAAAAAAGAAAAAAATGTTCCGCGCTGTTTGCGCTGTGTGTCCGTCTCATCACTCGACATCACGCGAGGCAACAGGCCGATGCCAGTCAACCTGCTCGCCACTCTCGCTCTCGCGTACAGCCCGCCTCCCATCATCGGCGGCCAGGGCGAGCTCCGCTTCGAGTATCGGCCCGATCGCCTCGTGCTGCCAAAGGGAGCGTCGCTTCGCAACGCGCACGGCCTCGTCACGGACGCCGCAGGCCGCATCTACTTCACCTACGAGCACGGCGGCAACGACACAAACTGCCTCGTCCGCTGGGAGGCGGACGGAACCGGCGCTCGCTTCCTCACCGCAGGCGGCAAGGCGCTTTGCGAGGGCGTGCCGCACGGGCTGCAGCTCAGCGACGAGGAGGGGCACGAGTTTCTGTACCACGCCAACAACGAGCAGAAGCTCACAAAGACGCGGCTGGACGGCAGCATCGTGTGGCAGCGCTCCGGCAACTTTGGGCAGGACCCGCGGCTGCCGTACCGCCCGACGTGGTTTGCGACGCCGCCCGGCCCGTTTGTCTACCTTTGCGACGGCTACGGCAGCAACAGGATATACGCCTTCGACAAGCAGTCCGGCGCGTGGGCGGCGGGGCAGGTCTGGGGCGGCAAGGGCGGCCGCGAGCAGCACGGAAACTTCTCAACGAACCACGGCTGCACGTACGACGTCACGGCCGACAGGATTGCGGTGAGCGACCGGGCCAACTCGAGGATCGAGTTCTACGACTACGGCAGAGCCGGCGAGCCGGCGCTCGAGTACAGCCACACCCTCGACCTGCGCGGGACGATGGGCGGCGGCTCCCTCCCCTGCAACCTGCGGACCTACCCCGGGCAGGGCGGGCGGGGCATCTCGCCCGACCTGTCCGGCCCTGTCGCGGTGCTCGACGCCGCCGGCCGGGTCGCGTCGGTCGTCAACGTGAGCGTCCTCCTCGGCCCGCTCGGGCACCGCCACCCGCACGACGCCATCCTCCTGCCGAGCGGCGACATGGCGGTCGCCGAGTGGAACCCGGGCTTCGTCACGTACTGGAAGAGGCTGCCCAGCCCGGCTCGGGCAGGGGACGTCGTCGGTTAGCCCGATTTATAAACGCGTTTCACCTCTGCGCGGTGCTGGAGATGGAGCTAGCGGCCATTCGGAGCGCGCGCACGGGGCGCTCTCCATGGCGCTCTCTGGGAGAGCCTCTCTGCCCGTTCCGAAGCCGGGCTCTCCGGGAGAGACTCCCTGACCAAGACGTCCCAACCCACGACACCTGCTGAGCCTGACCCTCTGTGCTCTGTCCCTCTCTCTTGTGGTTGTGCGGTGTCTCGAAAGTGTACATTGACATTTTTCTGGAGACACGTGGGAGACGTGACCGGCACACACCCACAAGGCACACGCAGCTGAGTTGTGAGTAGTGACGGTCCGATAAAGTGAGTTCCGCTACGGTGGACGTGGAGTGGTGTGGATCCCGCAGCACGACGGGGCATTGAGTTTGAGACGAGTTGCGTGTATTCCGTTCGAGCGAGTCAGGCAATTGAGACGCCGTGCGCTCAACCGTCCCCCCTCTGCCCAGCCCTCACTGGCCAGCACGCAGCGACGCTGCGGCAGCGGCGGCCGTCGCCCGCTCGAGCCGCCAGATCTTGTGGCTGCCGGACACTCGCAGCGGCACCGTCAGCTTGCGCGGCGCCTCGCAGACGAAGACGAAGGCGGAGTCGTTTTCCTCCGAGGGGCCCTCGCGGCCGGCGGCTCGCGCGGCGACGTACTCGTCGTGCGACAGGCAGTCCCGCACGACGACGCAGCCGAGGAGGGCGGAGGCCGGGTACTCGGCAGGCATCGCTGGCGGCGGGAGGCCGGCAGAGGCGGACAGGTCGGAGTACTGCCGCTCCACGGTCGCAACCTCGAGGTCGTTGGGCGTCCGCGCTGTCGAGGCGATCCAGAGCGGGCCCCGGTGGTCGGTCGGCCACGAGCGACCCTCCACGCGCTTGACGCCGCCCACGAGCAGCGACGCCCACGGCTGGTGCATCGAGAGGCAGAGGTTGCCAAACTCGGTGTCGGAGGGTGGCGGCGAGGCCTCCCCCGCCCCCACCTCTGCGGCCCCCGGCGCGGGCGCAAGGCCGGGCGGCGCTCCATCCGCCCGCTCGCCCGCCTGACTACCACCCGCCCGCCCGCCGCCCGCCCCCGCCCCCCCGCCCTCGAGGCGCAGCTTCTGCTCGCCTTCTCGGGCCTTTCCTGCCGCCGCCTCCCCGCCCTCGAGGCGCAAGTGCAGAGCAGTCCGGTGCGCGAGCGCGTCGATGGCGTCGTCGTCCTGGGCGAGGAACTCCTCCAGCCATGGGTTGTCGTGCTGAACGCGCAGCACCGAGTGCGAGAGGCCTTCCTCCACCGCCGCCGCCCGCAGCTTCGCCGCCGCCGCGTCCAGCCCAGAGCTCGTCGCCTGGCTCGACCCACCGATCTCGACGTTGCCGCGCCCGCTTCGACCACGGTCGGAGGCCGCGCCACCCGCGCCGCGCCCGCGCGCTGCCGGCGCGACGAATGTCGCGCGGCCCTGCAGCGTCGGGTTGGCGAGCCGCCCCTCGCCGCCGCCGCCGCCCCGCCCTGCAGCCTTTGCGGCTGGCGCTGGCTGTGGTGGGAGAGGCGGCGTGTGAGCTTCGCGTCGCCTCTCCCCGACCGCCGCCTCCGCGCCTCGTGCCTGAGCTGGCCGCACATCTGCCTTCCCACCGCCGCCGCCGCCACCACCGCCGCCACCACCAGCACCTCCTCCTCCTCCACCACCACCTTCACCGCCGCCACCGCCGGGGCCCTCCTTCACAACGCGCTTGTTTTCGATGTCGATCGTCAGCCTGAGCTCCTTCCGCTTGCGCGCTGCCTCCTCCTCGCGCTCCGCCGCCGCCGCGGCGGCGACCGCTCGCTCCTCCCCACTCATCCACGCGTCCGCCGCCGCGTGCGAAAAGTACTCTGTCTGGTCGTCAATCACGACCGTCCTCTTCGCGGCGGAGCGGTCGAAATCTATCAGCCGGCGGGCGTGCTCCTCCGCCGCGCTCAGCGCCGCGGTCTCCGACGAGGACGGCGCGGCGGCGGAGCAGGCACCGGCCTGGAGCGGCGTGTGCGGGTCGCGGCCGCAAGCGAGGCAAGGACCCTCGCCCTCTTGCGCGCACACGACGGACCCGCAG